TCAGGGTCCTGACCCTTGTACAGGGCCCTTACCCTTGTTCGGGGTCCTGTTTGTCGGAAATGGCCCTGGCCCTTTTTCCATCAAACATGATGTTGGCTCAAAACAGACCAAGTTTGCTTGGAAATCTCTAGGGGGACTGATTGTTGTCCGTTCCTTGGCTATGAAGGCTAAGGCTTTTGGACTAAAACTATGTGCGGCCTTTTCAGGGGATTCAGAAGTATGAATGTGAGTAGTAAAGTAGCTCATAACTAGGGGTAGGTCTCATGAACTCCCTCAAAAGTGGCGAGCGTTGTTTGGTCCCTGTGAGAGCCAGACATGTCCGATGCTAAAAAAACGTGCAGGCATCTTTGTGTACGCTCCCAAGAGTCAATGAAGGGCCATGACGTTTAGGGTTTAGGGTTTAGGGTTTGACAACCCAAACTGTTTACGGTCGTACAAATTCTGAGTAATCCTGATATGTGAGGCTTTCACACAGCAGCAACTGCAGAGCAAAATGGATGTGGCACTAACCAGACTCCCAAAGAGGTCGATTGACTTTAGATATCCTACAAGAATGTCAGGAACTCCACCTGGATTATGTGGTCCGAGGTCAACGTGGTGGTCCTTTTAGGGTCCCTAATGCAATACTGTGCGGCTCTTAATCGTTGGGGTACCCAGGACGTAATTTTGACCCACCCCGCTCCCCCCCCCCCCAAATATGGGACGCGTTTACTGACATTAGACCCTTCACAAGGTTCATATGAGCGTCCATCTAAACTCCCCGTCGAATGTAATGCACACCTCATGAGGAGTGTCGCTTTGCAGGGTTCCCCGTCGCTTTACAGGGTTTCGTCGGCAGAGATGTTGCAAATAGATTGCAAATAGAAATTCAGGTATCGCTTTACAAATCGGTTAATGTTGCACCCCTTTTAGTGTAGAGGACCCCTATAATGTGTTTTGGGGCCCGCTTATTCAGGATCAGGGGAAATCATTGTGAGGCCCCAGATAGGGTTTAGGGTTTGGGGTTCAAGGTTTGTTGAGGCTCCTTTATTTGAAGTTTTCTGAGGGCCCTATTGTTTGGGTCTCCCCCAACATTAAAAGAGAGCGCCACATTAAGCTGAAAGTAACACAGCCAGGACTTTTGGATTGCGGTGTCGCTTTTCAGGTTTCCAAATCGCTCTACTGCCTTTTTGTATTGCGTGTCCAACCTTTATACTTGCTTGCCACAACGGGAAATTAGAAGCTCGTTCCTATGGGAAGAGTGGAATGTGAGGGCTCTGTGGAGAAATCCCGGAACATATACAACATCGTGATTCGAACTCCTACTGCTGTTACTGCTGAAATTACTATGGTTGAGTTTCATGTTCTTGTTCCGTTTGATTCTTCATGATTGGGGTAGTATCCCGAAACCTTATACGCGTATATGTCCCTGTATAGCTCTACATGACCCCTGTCTATCCTTGTTTAAGCTCCAGATATATGTATATATATATATGTATGTATATATGTATAGAGGTATGGTACCCCCCCTACCTAAACCTCATGGTGCACCCCATATATATATATACACACACACACACACATCCGTCTCCCTACATGGCCCCCTAACATATAAGCCCCTACCCCTAAACCCTACACCCTTAACCCTGAACCCTACACCCTAAACCGTATACCCTAAAGCTCGACATTTTCTGGTCCCAAGCCTCGCAATGGCCTCGCTTTCGGAGACCAAGAAAGACCAATGCTCCTCGTGGCAAACCCTCAGCCCAAAACTCGAAACTCTAAGCCCTACACACCCTAAAGCCCTAAACCTTAAACCCCCAACCCCAAAACTCCAAGCCCTACTGCCTGAAGCCTCAAACCTGAAACCCTCCCTCAACCCCAAACTCTGAACCCTACACCCTAAAGCCCTACGCCCTAAAGCCCCCAACCCTCAACCCCAGAAACCCAGACCCGGTATCCGTAAACAGTAAACCATCAACCCAAAACGCTAATACAGGTGCCAAAATAATTACCGATGTCATTTTGGGGTCCATGTGAGGTACCATATACTATAACTATACTAGGAACCCTAAGGGTCCAAGTACCCAATAATCATATACTTTCCCAAAACTGTACTTTAATTCCTATTACCCAAACCCCAAGAACCTTATTGTTGGGTACATGGACCCTTAGGGGAATATGGATGCATAATATTGGTGATTATCCTTAAGCCCTAAACCCTCAACCCCAAGGAATATGGAACCATAATATTGGTAATTACTCCTAAACCCTACGCCCTAAGGACTATGGAACCATAATATTGGTGATTATCCTTAAAACCTAAACCCTAAGCCCTAAACCCTAAGGAATATGGAACCATAATATTGGTGATTATTTGGGCCCCCAAAACGCGAAGCCCTAAAGCCTGAAGCTTTGATCGCCCTCAAAATCTAAGACAACCTCAAGGCATCACGCTAAGGTTCCATGCAGCCATGGGGTTTAGGGTTTATGGGGTTTAGGGTTTACGGGGTTTAGGGTTTATAGGGTTTAGGGTGTATGGAGTCTATGGGGTTTGGGGCATATACACGTGTGCCCCAATGTAATTCTATCAGAACCCTTTCGTGCCCTAAGTAAATCCTATATGCCTCCATGGACCTTTTACCTAAGCCTTATACAGCTTAATCTAGCTTTGCGTAACCCCGCATATAACGGCCTCCAAAATTTAAGGATACGTTTTTTGGTGGTCTCCGTAAGGTTTTTTCAACAGTTTGACGTCGAAAAAAAGGCACCCTAACGAAAACTACCAGATATCCTGTGTAAAAAAGCGTTTCGATGATTACAGGCTGTCAAGGTTGGAAATTGAGGTCGTCCGCCTGTGGCATCTAGTAATGCTTGCAGCTGTTTTACGGCCATCAGGCGAGTTCCCAAATCCCCGCCCTTACCTAACAATAGCTTCCCCAATGAGGAGTCTCCCTGGTATATAAACAAACAGGGGTGCTAGAGCTACGTATGTTGGGGGCACTAATTGTTATGTATCTAGGTGTTGGGGCATTATTAGGGGAAGGAGACTACAAGGCCAGGCATTCGTACCCTAAGGGGTCCCCAAAGCAGTGAAGAGGGAACCTCTTTGGAACGTGTGTACATACTACATACCTGCATGGACCCGGTGTTGGACAAAGCCATCAATGCAATCGCCGACACATTCCCTAAGAAGACCGGAAAGCATCAGAATTGACAACGACGCTCCCCCTTCAAGGCGATTAGGGTTTAGGGTTTGGGGTTGAGGGTTTAGGGTTGCTGGTTTAGGGTTTGGGGTATAGGGGATTGTTTGAAAAACAACCATTGGCAATGTTGGTATGGTTGAGCTTGTGGATCCATTTTGGCCAGCCGGGTATGCTGTGCCTCTACCCAAATGAAAAAAAGGCACCTGTTACAGTACAGCTTAACCAGATTACCACACTGGGTATATACAGGGGTATAGAGGGTACGTAGTGTATATAGGGTTTAGGATCTGTTGTCCTACAGACCTGAAAAGTACCTCAAATCCACCATACGGATTCGGCTGTATCCCTCATGAACAGACATCCCACTTGCAGAGGCAGTCAATCTATCGAAGGTAAGCGTACCCCCCCCCCCTCAAGGCTATCGCTGAAGACAAACAAACTGGGGATACTTTAGGCTAGGGCTAACCAAGGGTTAACCTCGAGGGATAGTGTAGGGGGCGGTAGGGGAACCCATGAACCATGACTACTGTGTTCCCGAGGATCATGCCGTCCTCTAGAAGGGTTGAGGGTTTAGGCTTTTTGGATTATGGTCTGCCTTACTGGCGTGTAGCAGGAACTCAAGGAATATAACGTGTAATCCCTAAATAGCCCCCACCTATTACATTCCCTTGTTCCCTACTAAGACTAAACCCTTACCCTTAATCCCTGAACCCAAACCCTAAATCCCTGCAATATGTTCCCTGCTAACCCCCAGTAGCTTAAGGGTCTGGGGTTCTCCTGAGCCCTCAGTCCTGGATTATTTTCTCCAGGCTTCCATCCAGAATCCAGGGGGGCAGCCTGGGACTATCTGTCTGTAGCAGTAGTCCCCTATATAATCCCTTGCTTTAGACTATAGCTCTTATGGGTGTAGGGTTTAGGTTACGAAAGCGGCCTATTGGGGTCAGAAGGAATAAGGGAATACATCATATATATATATAATACATGGATGTATACGGATTACAGTCCCTTAGTCCTTACTAACCACCAGCAAGCAGAAGTGTCGTTGCAGAGGTTGGGGAATAGGGGTTCTTGAAGGGCTGTAAATTGCCTCTTCCCACTACAAACCGCCCATGAAGGAACTAGATTGGGAACATTCGGTATTCGGGGTGTGCCGCAGTTTGAGTACAGGCGGGGAACCCATCAACCCTAAACCCTAAACCCTATAACAGTAGCACCCAAACAACATTAAACCCTGAACCCTAAACAGGTAGACTGGGATTTGGAGAGGACAGTAGCACCGTAGTACCCCCCAAAGTATTTGAATTAATGGCCCAACGCCCCAAAAAAAGCACCCAGATAATTCATGGACATGGGCTACTTTTTAAGGAAATAGGGACTATACCAAACTACAAGGGGACCCCTATGTCCACCCTTAGTGGTAGGTACCTTGGTAAGCCCAATATTGACAATAGCTCATGTCTCAGAGGGCTCAAAAGGTTAGGTAAAGGAAGCGCAAACAGAATGGAGTCCACCCCTAACCCTAGACCGGGGTGGATCCATTAACCAACCTACCTTTATGCACGTTTTGAGCTTCCAAAATGTCTAAGATCGCACGGTGAATTAAGCACGCCATGTGGGCTTCTGTTGCAGGATGTCGCAGACTACCTCAAAACTACATACATGGGGCCCGAGGAAATTCCTATGTACGTATTTTGGAGGTTAAGTATCTACAATATGAGAAAATTACCTGAAAACTTGGGATTCTCCGGAGTTCATAAACAAGTTCTGTACATGATACTGGGATCTTTGAGTGCATCCATGCTCTTTGGAAGGCTACCAGGGCAAATTGTTGAGGCAAGTGTGTCTGACGATGTCTGACAAAAAGGTTCGTAGGGGAATTGCCAGAACCACAACTAGCTGTCATCCATACTGTCCATAGTTACAATATTGAGTACGGGTAAGTTGTTACTTTACATCTAGCCCTGTTGACAGGTGCGAGATGCGAATTCTTGACTCTGAAGTCTGGTCGTCACTGAGGTACACTCGAAACCGCAGTTTGATGTGAATGCTTGAGTACTTCGGAGTTGCTGTCATATATATATATATATACATATGTATATGTATATACACACTCATATGTACATATATGTATATATATATATACACGTTGATCCCGATTCAAATCCCCATGACCACTCTCGAAACTACTATCTCAAAGGTCCGCCACGCCGACCTCTTACCCCTATATACTCCTTAAACCTGGAAGCCCAAAGCCAGAATTTCCACGTGGTCGCCATACCATTGGTGGTTGGAGGGTATAAGGCTGTTTAGGGTTTAGGGTGTAGGGCTCCTGGGTGAATTGCTATAGAAGCCCTAAGAAGGCTATTCTCACAGACGGGCAGCGGGCCATACCTCCGGCGAATGGCGCAGTTCTTCCCGTGGTTTGAACGGACCACGTGGCCAGAGGAGGTAATCCAGACTTCTTGCGACCTCGGGTTGGATGTTACCCTAAGGGTCCATGTACCCAATAATTGGGTCCCTTTAAAGGGTATATATAGGGTTTAGGGTTTAGGGTCCATGTACCCAATGTTTAGGTACTTGGGATTTGGGTAATAGTAATTACAGTATAGGTTTTGGGTAAGAATATGATTATTAGGTACTCGGACCCTTAGGGTTGTCGGACTTGTCTTAAGATGGTGTTTTTCGCAAGGCTGGAACTACATGCATAGAGGGATCCGCAGTGAAATTGGAGGCCCAATATCAGGACTCCTATTTTCCTTACGGAAGGAGTTGCAGCCCACGCAACCGTGCATGTTCTTGATATGGGATATGGAAAACTCACTCGGAGATTATACGTCTGGAAAAAAACGGACGCTATTTTACATACCCAGTGCTAGACGCCCCAACAAAGAGCTCCGAGCAAGCATGACTGGTCGGGACCCGGGGGTTACTACTGGGTTAGGTACTGTTGCTTATAAAGGGTTTAAGATGGGGTTACAAGGGCTTACCAAGGATTATAAAGGCTTATTAAGGGGATACAACATATTACCTAACTCTAGTCCCTGAACTCCTAACCGCATTCCTCAAATTGACCCCAAACATCCTATGATCCGACCAGCTGAGGCGCGTGTGGATCGTGCCGCCCACCACGACACCCCATATCCTGGGTTTGGTGTGTAGGTTGAAGGTTTAGGGCTAGGTCGTAGGGTGGTGCAACGCAGTAGCAAGTCAAACATACCCTCGGCACTCACACACACAAATCCAGCTATCTCTATCCCACTGATGTGCGTTTACAAGCGCAGAAGCGGACGGAGGAGAACTTCAAACACGAGGCCCGATAAGCAACTACTCCGGCCTGTTGTGACTCTGATTTAAGTCTGATTGCTGATTTGCGTGGGTTGCGAGCATGCGTTACAAGGATGCACTCTCATATGGGATAACAAATGTCCCTAGGAGCCTAATTACCTAACTGTTAGGTTACAGTTCCTAAGCAGATCTATACCGTAGAGCTGACTATGTACCTAGACCCTCCATCTAGCCACTGTTATGTCAGCACGGTACCACCACCAAACCCTCTGATCCATTCTACACCAGACCCTCCAATACCTTGAGCTGAACAGCGCCAACCCTGTGGGTAGGGGTGCAGGGCTTCAACATGTTAAGCCCAAATCCAAAACAACTCTATCAAACCCCTGTTGCCGCGTCATCTTCCAATGGTTTCTCCACGTTGAAACCCCAAACTCCTACCACCAGAATCCCCAACCCTCAAATCCTGTACATCCTGCATATTCCAGCAAAATGCTGAACCCTAAACCCTAGACCCTAATTCCTAAACCCTAAATCCTAAACCCGAAGATCCTCTCAGTCCGGGGGGCGTCTGCAATTTCAGCTCTAAGGGCCTCTCTGGCTCCTCAGGAATGTTGCAGCGGTCTCAAAATTACGGGTACCTTCAGAGGATTTTGGGGTTTAGGGTTTAAGGCTTTCAAACCCTAAGGGTCCAAGGACCCAACACATGAAGCGCAGACCTCTTCGCAGACAGAAAAAGAGACGCCACCTGATTGACTATCAGGCTGTCTCTCTGAGTGCCCAAGCATTTGACCCCAGCGGACATGAGGTGTATGCGCGCCATCAAACTTGCCGGGGCCAGATTCTGTTGCGAATCCCATTGCTGATGCGCGATGCTGCCCAGCCTTTCGCAGGAACTTTCCGGACCGCGTAACACTCTGCATCGGTGATGCAGCCTCACCGCATGCCACGACGAGGCACGGGCTGTCATCTCTACAGTGCCCTGCGCAAAGAAAGACGAGCAGTCGATGCTTCAACACAGTGGATCGCCATGATCCTGACAACCTTCCCATTCCAGCTGCGCAGATACCATGAATATTATAGTATCTGGGCCCTAAAACCCTAGAATTTGGGTCCTTGGACCCCAGGGAAAGGATTACAGGGTTTAGGATTTAGGGATATACAGAGTTTAGGGTTCAGGGTTTTTTCAAGGTTGGAGATGTTGGAGGTACCTTCTCTGGGGTCCCCATTAGGATCATAAAGTCTGTATATCGGGCCCCTTCTTCATGGACACCACCACAGAGGGTCTTGGGGATTTAAGGGCTCTAGGAGTTTAGGCATTTTTGGGCTTGGGGGTTAGGAATTTAGGTTTGCGGGTTCAGGGATGTAGGCGTAGGATTCCAAGTTTGAGTAGGGATTCATAGGTTCAGGAATTCAGGTTCAGGGCTGAGCAATTTCAAGGGGCTGGGGTTTGGGGCGTAGAGTTCAGAGACCTGCACACCCTCCCAATCCTAAAAGCCTAAACCCCCAACTGTGAAGTAGCTCAGGGTTTAGAATGCAGGGTTTGAAGGCTTCAGGGCTTGGACAAATTTGGGCTCAAATCTGTAAACGGTACCTAGTTTGGGCCCCCAAGTTCTATGATTCCTACTTGCTCTAGCCCGCTTGGATAAACTCCAAACCCTCGATCTTAAAACCCTAAACTCCAAATCCTAAATCCTAAACCCTAAACCACAAAACCCTATGCAAACCCCTATGGTGCAGCAAGCCCAGAGCTTCAAAAACCTGTCATAACGTAGCATCTCGCAGCAGTTTAAGGCTTCAGGTGTAGGGTTTTGGGCTTTGGATTTGGGGCTTAGGGTTTAGGGTTTAGGGGGTTTAGGGTTTAGGATTTGGGGCTTTTGGTTTGGAGGCTCCAAAAAAACAGAAGAACAAGGCCTAAATCGTAATGAACTCTGGGATGTGACTCAAGGTGTCCCTGGACGCAGGATGTTCTGTTTTTTTTGGAAGATTCCCTAAACCCTAAACCTGTAGGACAGGACCCAGAGAGGAGGAGCATCCAAGGTCCAGGCGTGCTTCTCGTATTGCGGAGGGTTTAGGGTTTGGTATACCTTGGGTTGGGCAGCCGCCCAGGGTTTAGGTTTTAGGGTTAAGGTTTGGGATATACCCTGGGTTAGCTCCCACCCTTTAATAGCCCACAAAAGTATGTAAAATAATGGTCTTAAACCCATAATACCAGCCATAAAAGCCAATATCTTAAATACTTTTGGGGTCCAGGTAACCCTTAACCCTAATGCTCCGATATGGTCCCAATCTGGGAATTAAGGGTGTGGAAAATTCCAAAGCCACAATCTGCCTACCCAAAATCCTGAGCCCTACAGGTTTAGGGTTTAGGGTTCAACCCTAAACCCTAAACCCGACCTGCTTAGTAGCCTCCATGTTCTCTTTCATTCCGTGGATGCCCTACTAATTCCATCATACTAATAAGATGAAACACCCACCCACCCACCCCCAATATTCAATATGAAACCTTATAGATATATGTGTACATAGATGTATGTATTCATACATATGTATATATATATATGTATGTATATATATATATATACACATATGGGGTGGCTTGTGTTGGTATGAAGGTTGCGCCAAACCCTAGACCCTAAACCCTAGACCCTAAACTCTGCAACCTAACCTTCTGACACAGATGCCTTGCTGCTGGCGCGCAGGCTGGGATATAGCACCTCCACACCCACTCCGCGCGGGACCTCAGCTTGCCCCCAAAGCGTCCAGGTACCAATGTGGTTTAGAGCCCAGTGTTTATAGGGTATAGGGTTTAGGACTGCAGGATATACTACGCCAAACAGCCGCAAAATCTAACAAGATACTCCAAACCCTAAACCTTTCGCTGAGCGGGAATCCACTCACGAGGTAGTGTGGCAGGGCATGTCTCAATAATTTCGGAGGTTGAGCTCAGTGTATACTTGAACGGTTCGGGTGTTTAGGGTTGGGGGTTTAAGGTTACATCCTGGGGCAAGTCGGAACCAATTGAGCTTTGGTATCAACTGTATCCATCCAATCCCGTCTTCCTCAGAAGCAGGTAATCCTTGCCCTCCGACACCGAAAAACCCTAAACCCTAAACCCTACGAACCCTTCCTGTACTTACCGGGTTTAGGGTCTAGGGTGAAGGTCACTAGTTAATACCTATATGTAATCCCCTAGGGTTTAGGGTTTAGGGTATCTTCACCCCAGCTATTAAAAGCCTAACCTTGCAAAGCTTTAGGGGCTTCAGGTTTGGAAGGAAAGGCCCTTATGTGGTCACTGTAGGGCGTAGGGGTTACTGGATTGGGGTTTAGGGTTTAGGGTGAGGCTTACAGGGACGGGCCCCTAGTTAAAAGTTGAGCAATCCCCATGTTTTGGATCACATTGTATACTTGTGCGGTCTGCATTGAGGACCCCCCCCCCGCCCTATTTATAGAAACTACCTAGAAATGGTTACAAGTCCCATAAGCAGGGTAAGTCGAAACAATTTCGATTCCCAATTTAAGGCCATTTTGGTACTATGCTCTATCAAAATCACCTTTTAGGGTGACGTCGGGTGAGGTCGCTCTAAATTTCCAAGCATAAACTGTACTTTGGGTTGATGAGTATGGTTCATGTTACTGCGGGGCATCGACCTGTAAGTTTTGGGGATAAAGGCTTAGAAGTTTGGGGTTAGGTTAGTCCCCCCTATTGTACTGGCTCCTTAATAGTGAGTTAATAGGGCCTTAACATACCTACAATGGTTTCTTGTGGTACCCAGTACTGCGGTTTGGGGTTCAGAGTTCAAGTTGGGCTTCAGGGTAAGCATCCCACTAACCATACACTTCCTAGTAGCCAAGCCTAGGGTTCCTGTGAAAAAAACAATTGGGTACTGAGAGCCACAGCACATGCAAGTCTCCAGAGCCGAAATCCCAAACTTGACCTAGACCCACCAGGATATGTTCCTCAAGTCTAGTAGGCCCTCTGAGCCCTTAGCTCAAGCTTGAGGGGGTTCGGCGGGCTTGAACGGATTCGGCCGGTTTTGAACTGCCCCAAACAACGAAACCATACGGGGTTACTGGGGAATGTGTTTATTCTAGGGGTTGTATAATATAGGGGTTCTATCCCCCTATTCCCTACTGAGCAGCAGTAAGTCCGGCCTGGTACAGCTGCCATGTCTCACCCCTCTTGCACTCCACCTGACAAGGTTTTGGTCCCTCCTATCTTTCAGGCTGGAAACCCCCAACAAGGAGGGGGGTTGGGAGGATTCGCGACTGCTGTGGTGATCTTGCACTTTTGGTGGTCTTTTTCAGAACTTGATTCCGCCTGGAGGTTAGCAGTGCTGTTGGTAACTGCGACCTTCAGGGTTTATAATTTAGGGACCATGCTCCAATGCTAAAAGCAGACAAGGAAGAACCTTGAACAATCTTCAGACTTACATGGTAGTTTCCGAAAGCAGTAGGACCCCAACACATGTGCATGTAGACTCCAAAATGCAATCAACCTTATTATGGGGACCCCCGAAATGATATCCCCCAAAGCCTTGAACGGGTACAACACTCAACCCCCCTGAGAACTAAACCGGAGAATACTAGTCCAAATGAATGTGAAACCTCCTCTACAGATACTCCATAGTGTCTGAAGCACTGACATACAACAATTTACTGCCGTCAGCGGGCCAAGACATCGCTTGCCACTGCAATCATCAAGCATCACACGGGCGGCGCATCACACACAGCAGTCTTGTGGTGGGCTGGAGCCAGAAGATTCAACTTGATTCTGGCATCGCAAACTCGTCAGAAATTTCGGAAGCGTTGCCATCAACCTGCGCGAACCGTCTCGTGGTGACACATTGCGGCCAAGACAAACAACGCTGTCTAGCAAGAAGATCACTATTCAGTTTCATGTCGGGTAAGACTGACTCCGTCACCAGCCATGCATTCAAGGAGGCGGCAGTGTCCGACATGTCTAGGAATTTGGGTTTAGGGATTAGGGCTTAGGGGTTTGGGATTGGGGTTTGGCATTAGGGTTGAGGGCTTAGGGTTTAGATATTAAAAGGCTATAGGGATTTGGGGTTTAGGGTTGAGGGATTCCGGCTTAGGGATACTGTAGGGTTTAGGGTTGAGGGCTCAGGGTTTAGGGATACATGCAACCATGAAATTCGCAATGACCTAGAAGCCCAGGTGTGCTCAAACTAAACCTCGAGCCTGAAGCGCAGGAACCAGAAAATCGTCCAGAGATCTTACCCTAAGGGTCCATGTACCTAATAATTGGGTCCCTTTAAAAGGATTTTTAGGGTTTAGGGTGCATGTACCCAATATTTAGGTACTTGGGATATGGGCAATAGTAATTATAGTATAGGTTTTGGGTAAGTACATGATTAATAGGTACTTGGACCCTTAGGGTTACTGAATCACCAAATCTCGCAAAGACCTTCAGGTGAGAATCCTAACCAAAAAGCTCACCAAGCCTAAGCAAAGAAAAAAACAAAAGAATAACAAATACATGGCCCAGGCAAACACACGTGCATGGAACTCAACTTATAAACCGACCCCAAACCCTAAACTGAACTCACTAAACCCTAAACCTCCAAAACCCACTAAACCCCTTAAACCCCCTAAACCACCTAAACTCCCCAAACCCTAAACCCTGACAGGAAGGCCAGACTCTTTTTCCCCAATAACCAAAGAAGAAAGTTTAAACTTTGTTCTAGAGACACTAAAAGGAAGCCTAATACGGTTAAAGTTCTTCTGTTGCCTCAAGGTTTCAAGTACCCAATATTTAGGTACTTGGGATTGGGGTAATAGGAATTATAGTA